GGCGCTCTTCATATCCAAAACGCGCACAACCAGCGCGTCTGATGTTCTATAGATCTGTGGTCGCTTGTGGCCAGCAATTGGTCAGATTACAGCCTGTCAGCTCGGCAGACATTTCAGAGACGTGAAATTTGACACCTCTGCGTCACTAGCGGGGGAGAGGGGGGTCTTGCATCCGGGACTGTTCCTCTCGGGTGTTTAACTACACAATTATCTAACATAAATATTACTGAAAAAGTACCTTATTACAACAAATCTAAATCTGCTTGAAGCTTTATAACCTCCTGCATTATTAATGAAAAATGAAGATTAAACACCAACCTGTTAGTTCTTCAGTATCTTCAGTGTGTTTGATTCTGCAGGGTTCTGGATCTCTCATCTTCTCTCTGTCCTCTTTAATAAACTCAGTCTTTGCAGATTTCAGCTCTTCCTGATGATTAGATGCTCGTCTTCACTTGTGAACTGATGGAGATATTCCAGCATTTATTGCTGAATTACTGTGGGAGGAGCTTCACTGATTATGTGATTACTGTGGGAGGAGCTTCACTGATGATGTGTTGCAGTGGGCGGAGCTTCACTGATGATGTGTTGCCGTGGGAGGAGCTGATCTGCCAAAATCAAAAGTATATCACAGAGTTACTGAACTAATTGTTATACTAATGGATAACAGAATAAAATAATGCATTGTTAATTATTCCAGATAGGCTATAAACAATGGTAAGAAAAACAGTTGAAATCAGGGCTTGAAAAAGAAAATAAATAAATAAATCAATCAATCGGTTCACTTCCAGCAGAATCGATATTTTAACGTTTCTGTTCCAGTGTTCCTCTGTATTATTACCGTTCCGAAACCGATTCGGGTAGAAGAAATACCGGTTAATAACGTAATAAAAATATATTTTCTTTGCCTATAATAATAATAATAATTATTATTATTATTATAAAGTACAGCGTTTTCTTTACTAAAAAAATAAATAAAAAGAAAACAGGAAGCGATCTGGTAACGTCTATATATAACCCGCTGCGCTTAGTCACAGCCAATACAGCATCATCTTTTCTAGATTTTGGCCAAATATAGGCTACTAAACAAAAGAAAAAAATCTATCAACACTTTAAAGACATTAAAGTATTTTTACTTTTACTTTTAAATTGCTCAAATCAATAAGAAATTCCAATCTGATGTGAACAAGAAGCTAATTGTTCAGAGATCTGAACTTATTGTTTCGGGAAAAAAAAGTTTCATTCGAGAATTGAGCCAAAGCAATTGAGAAAAACTGTAAATTCCTACATTTGTCTTTTTATGAAATATAGAAAAAATGTGGGGAAAACCCCACACAATTAATATTAATATAAACAAAGTAAGGATAAAAAAATGTAAGAATAAAAATAGAAATATAATTTTACAAATTAGATACTTACCTCTATCTTGTAATGTCACAATAGCTGATCGTGTTGTTTGCTGCAGTCTGTTAACACCAATAAAACTAGCTTAATTCTGCAATTAACAGATCTGAAGTCATCAGCATAACGAATGAGGTGAAAACAGGAGCTATTGACATGAAATAAAGAGTCTTTTCAGCAGCTCTGTTAATATTGATGAGCCTCAGACGATCAACACTCATTCAACAAGACATTCAGGATCATCAGCAGATCATCTCACTTTATTCTCAGTGTTTGCTGATAGAAACACATTATTTGAGTCAGGATATATGATAAAAGCCTAGTTCTCACAATATGTATAAGACATAAATAATACAAAAAACTAACGCTAAAGTAAATAACTGCCGTAAAGCACCACAATATGCATGTATAATCTAAATAGTTTGATTTTCTAATAACTATTCATTGCAATAACATAAAACATCTTCAAATAAGAGCACCACAAAGCAGTATTTAATGATTTCAGGGTCACATTTGATTCATATTTCGCTATATTAACATTAATGTATGGATGTCTCACGCGGCTCATTATAGGCTCAATGTAACGTTAGCAGTCTCTGTTTCAGTATATTTTAACAAACTAACGGATTTAATCTGCCAAAGATGCCAAAAGTGTAGAAATAAAATGGCAGCAGCAACACTTGAGATCATTCCCCTCACAGATCAATGTTTAACTTGACATTCAGCAACAGTTCTCACTACAAACATAGAAACAATCGTTCACACGAACACACAAAAACGCTCAGGTCTCAATGTAACGTTTTCCTCACGTTGTTCTGAGTGTTTAAGTCAGCAAACACACAAACAGTGCTGTACTAGATGATAACAAGGCAGAAACGAGCTCGAATGTGTTGCACAAACAAACTGTGTAAAGTGTATTTAACAGTTAAATAAGTGAAATACTGTGATCTGCTCTCCTCTCCTCAGAAGACTCGACGCTGACGGAGTGACCGCGCGCTAGTTGTGACGTCATCGCCGCGAGGCGGGAGCATCAAAAAACCGCCAAATTCTATTTTTTTTTCTTTTGCTTTATTTCTTTTTTTAAAAACAAACATACAGAGATACTTAACGTCAAACAGAACAGAAACAAAAATGGGGGATACATATAACAGCTATACATCATGGAGGGTAAAACATTATATTTTACAAATAACATTTTTTAATATGAGAGACGTTTTTATAAATTTCTTGTCCCTAGTGATTGAAATCAATGAGTCATTCAATATCTTAAGTTCTTTACAAAAAAACTTAAAAGAGGGAGTAATAGACGTTATTTTTGCTTTATGTAGGCCTACATGGAACTTCATCTGATCCAGTATTACAGTTAAAAACAGGATCATAGATTCATCTATTTTAATTATTTTATAAAATATATCAAAAACCAACATAGATACCTGCTTCCAAAAGTCTTCAGTACATTTTCAGTTACAAAATAAATGTGTGTTTCATTTTCTAAACTACAAAAAGAACATTTTGGTGAGACATCTTTTCTAAACTTTTTTTCTAAACTTATTCCTTTGCCTTATTTGGTAGTAAAAATGTATTAGTTGCCGACCATATTTTCTCAGTGAAGGTATGGAGAAGAATTGTTTCCACTTTATGAGTGCTTTTGGGTAACAGCTGACATCACGAATAAGACATGTTCTAATATGTGAGTTATTACACTTAATATCCACGATATTAATACCTCCAATAACAAGATTTGGAATTTGTCGGACAGCTGAATTATAACTGAGATGTATTTCCACAAGGTAAAGCAATTTAGGGCAAATGCTTTTCACAACCAAATTATAATCTCTACAGGAAGATCCAATCCCTGAGAAAGAAACACATTGCTGATAAGTATAAATCTCACCGTTATATTCAATAAGTCTGAAATAAATATAATTCCTTTATCAAACCATTCTTTTTTAAATATACTCTTGTTTTTAGACAACACAAATTGGTTATTCCATAGTATGCATGTGTGTGGAGAAAAATAATGCATAAAGGCTATTTTCCATGCGTCTACACTGCATGCCTGTATATTTACATCGCAAGTACATCTGCACTTTGTTGTTTATGATGAGTGAATTCACTGCAAAAGAGCAGAATTCAACCAGCAGAAATACGGTGTTTCAGTGAGTACTAATCTGAACACCTCTGATTGGCTACTGCATACATAAACTCAACAGAATCGTTTGTGATTGGTTATAATGCGCAGTGCTGTAAAAAAAGAAATATGAAGCAGCATGAGAAGACATAAATTTAATGCCACAATTTACACTTTTCATTTAATTTTCACTTTATTATACGTCACAAAAGAAAAAAAAGAGGGGAAATGTGCAAAAGATCACTCATCTTACTAAAAAGGCTAATATTATCACTAATGTTATGGTTTTATTACACATAGTACAACAACAATCAATTTCTGCCCAACTTCAAAAATAAAACAAATGAATGTTTGGGGGGATATGGTATTTGTACATTTATTTGGCTGAATTTGTCAAAGTTGATGTAAACTGAATTTCCTTTAGAGGAGGCAGAAGGCTTTGCCCAGAGCTCCACACAAGCTAGAGCTGCCACTGTGTGCCATTCTTCTTCTACAGTATTATACTGAACTGACCAGCAACTTCAGTGATTAAGAAACACTCTTGATGTGTGATTCAGTTGCAAATTATGCCAAATTATAGAAAAGTTTGTGTTTTTTAAGGTATTTTGTGACTTTTCTGGATTTGATATTTTATAATAGTGAATTTATCATTTAAAAACATGAAGCAAACAGTAAAAATGAATGACTAATACGCCAATAAGTGCTCCTCTGCTGCTTTCTACTGGTTAAAGTGGTAACTTGATGTATTATTTATTATTTACTCACTGGATCTTGCAGCAGTCTGCAGTAATCAGCTGTTCTGAGCTCTGATCAGTTTGCACGTGTTTGCGCTGCGCTCAGTTATTGGATTGAATAATAAAATAAATATGATTCTGTGTAGTTCAGCAGAAGAGATAATAGGGAAAAGTAAAGAGGCAAAAATGAAAAAGGCTGTACCATGGTGGACAGAAAAATGTAGTGAAGT